AACCGTTCTTCATATGTTTTAGCCTCCAGGCCCCTAATCATCTTTGTTGCTTTTCTCTGCACTCTTTCTAGAGTCTCAACCAGTGGTGGGTTCCTACTGGTTCGGACCAGTTCAGCCAAACTGGTAGTGGTTTGGCAGTTTGGGTCACTGGAATCGGCAGCGACCCAAGCCTGCCATGACCTTAAACTGGTTCTCCAAGTGGCGCCATAGGTGCCACCATCTTGTTTTTTGCTTTTGCGCATGTGCAGAACAGTTTTTATTGGACTGTGCATGTACATACTGTGCACATCAGGCATGTGCGCATGGCGTGTGCACAAGCAAACCAGCAGTAGTGACTGCCGGAACTCACCCCTGGTGTCATCATCTTTTTTATATCATGACAACCAAAACCAAATGCAATATTCCCAAGTGTAGTCTTACCAAGGCATTATAAAGTGGTACTAACACTTCACATGATTTTGATTCTATCCCTCTGTTAACACAGTCTAGGGCTGCAATGGCTTTTTTAGCAGCTGCAGCACAATGCTGGCTCATATATAAGTGATTGTCCACTAGAACTTCAGGATCCCTTGTATGTATTGAACCAGGGACCGTTATTCTATATCTCTGCATTTTATTTTTCTAGACTAAATATAGAGCCTTATTTTTCTCACCATTGAATTTTATTTTGCTAGATAGAGCCCTTCTTGAACCCATCTTCTGGAGTGTTGGTTATTCCTGGCAGCTTGGTATTGTCTGCAGATCTAATGCCTTTTCCTTCTATCCCCTTGTTAAAGTTACAACTTTACTGGCAACTCTGCCTCGGCCAGCATTTCCTAACTTTAGCCAATTTAAGATGTGTGGACTTCAATTCCCAGAATAGCACTGCTGGCTGGAATATTCTGTTAGTTGAAGTCCACCCATCTTAAAATGGCTAAGGAGGAAAGAGGGCAGCACAAGTACCTATAATTTTGTTCAAGCCATCTGTTCTTCCACATGCTGATGGCTACAGCGCTGCAGGCTTCCAAACAGGTTTTCCAGCTGCACACAAAGCCATTGAGCTGAGACCTGCCTGAAAGATCCTGTTGCCCACCTCCAATGCAGTTTTAATAAGACATATATAATGCATGATAACATTTGACACTGATACAGATGAGCCTGCCAATTCATTTTAACCAAAGAAACCAAAGAAACTATAGACAATGAAGCATTTAGTTTACCATTAACATTTGATTCAAAGCGTTATGGAAGAGAAGGTTAGCAAAAACTAGTCCAATATCCTTTTTATATCAATGCCTAATTATTATTTTCTGGAAAAAAATGTGGAGACTTCAACACTGATGGTACTGTGCCAAAAAAAAATATGGAGGGGCAACACTCCCATGTTATACTGATGAATGTAAAGTTTATCAGTCTAAAGCAAATGTGGAGCATCCCTAATGACTTTTTGCAAGGCTCATTATGGGGAATGCTGGAAGCTGCCCTTTAGAAACATCAGAAGGGCAACAGATTTCTCAACCCACATCCAACAAGTGTTTATAATTATCTCATTATCCAACAAAAGCTGTAGCAGCTTCCATCTGGATCCCAGCTTTGGAATGCTTATATATGTTAATTTCTTCCAAATATTTTCTAAGCTTTTACTCTAATCCTATATCCACAATAGTTAAGTAATAAATGCACATACATTTGTGGATGGTACCATTTATAAATATAGCCACCGTGACTATACTTAGCAACTATAGTGCAATTGTTTTGGTCATAAGCTACATCAGTTACTGAAATTATGCAGAGAAATTACATGCTACTCAAAATGTTTAAATTAGAGTTGGCCCAGACAGTATTCTTAGTTGTTAAGAAGGATCATTAACACCTATGTTCCTGGCAAAGGCACTATGCTACCAAATAGCTACATGAACTACATACTGTATCATGTAACTTTAAGATTCCTTCACACAGGGCATTTATGAGCAACAAGGTGGCAATTCTCACCAGAGTAATCCATTTCTTCTTGCACTTATTTTCATTGTTAGTAAGCATGCCTTTGCATAATGCACAGAAGGCATATAGATGTTTCTTTTCCCCCTCGCACACACAATAGTAAAATATGTTATCCAGAGAAGAAAACTTGCAAGAAATTTAGGACAAATAAAGTTAATTTCTTTAGACAATGCTTAACTAATCTGTAGAATTTCCTCCACAAGACATAATAAAAAGTCCTTTTTAAAGAAGAGACAAATTTATAAGCAGGGTTCTCTTAGTACATTTAGCCATAGTGTTTTATTTGTCTTATTTTTCAGCAAACCTTATTTTAAACATAGCTTCTCATTAAGTTTAAAATTATAATTCTGTAGTGTTTATGCTCTTCCCATTTCTTTCAGGTACTAGTAGAAAACAGGAATTCTTTTAAAAACTCAATTATTTCACTCATATATTACAACTCTATTTAAGAGCTGGTTTACTGCCAAGTCGAATCTTGCTCAATCGGTTGTATTTTTTGAAACACTGGGCATCAACTCCCAAACTTCCCAGGTTTTATGGGAGCCAAAGTCCAACTTACTCAGACAGCAGCACCAATACTGGAAAATAAATACTGTGTTGGTCTGGTCCAGCAGGCTCTTGTTATGTTCACTCTGGCTGACCCATTCCATTTGTTGAACCTTCCCCTTCCAAGAGGAAGATGCAAGAATCTTGTCTTCCTTTGCACCTCTTCACCCTACCCTGCCCATTCTTGTTAACAACATATTCTACATAGCATTACTTTGTCATTACATTCCTGAACTAAGAAATGGGCAGGGGGGTAATTTAACTGTAGCTATAATATTTTTTATACATACCACATTATCCACTTGCCAGCCATTTCTATCGTATTGCATTTCTGTTGAGATATTTGTAGCCTCTGTACTCACTCACACAACTCACACTATTGTTTAGATTCACTTATTCACACTCTGTCCTTTAAGCTTAACTGAGCTCAAGAAGCTTTTTTAAAAAAAATATTATATAGTTCTTTTTGCCCTACTTTAAGATAAAGCAAACATAATTAAGAGAAAGTGCTGTTGTTTGACCAAAAATGTAAACTCTTCCCTTTCTCTCATTTTAAGACTACTGTGATACGAATTTTATTAATACAAATAAAAGTATCTGGGAAATGCCGGTTAGAGAGGTCTTTCTCTTTTTCAGTTTCACTTTTACCCCAGCTGATGGGTATTTATTATTAAGACTTTCAGAACCACCCTCACTTCCATTCCCCATGAATATTTCATGGGATAACTAAAAGGATTTACCTTTAAAATTTAACCCATTCTTTCCAGTTTAGTGCCCTCTCTAATTATTGGTCTACAGGTTTAAAAATTCCATCCAGAAAGAATGTAGCTGTAATCTAATGAACATGGAAGAGATAAAGTTGGAAAAAGCTTGTATTTTAAAACATATGAAGTAAAAGAAACTGCTTGAGAATAGCTAGCAGAAAGTTAACCTGAATTAAAAGCTTAAGATTTTTAACAGTTATCTGGCTTTTGGTGGAAAAGGTCTGTGTTGTCCCTGAATGCACTTAACAGTGGTTAAATTGAAGCAGGAGAATTTTTATCCTATAAGTATAAAAAGCAATAGAAGAGCACAATGGATTGTGCATATTTGTAAGAAAAGACTATTGAGTTGTCCAGGAACAACTCATATTTTTGGCACCATAGGCAAAAGAAACAATAGTGCTGAATGAGGGATTAAGTAATAATCAGTTGCTGCTCTTTAATGGTATTCTAAGGAGAGTCCGTATGTGATTAATGCACCAGGCTAGAAACCAGACATTTTTGCCTTAGAGATAAAATCAATTGGGTGAATTTGGGCTAGTTGTTCTCTCTAACCCCAGGAAGAAGGTAATAGAAAACCACTTCCAATTTTTGGAAAACCTGGACAGACTAATCCTAGTAGTTGACACAAGTCAATGTGTCTCAAAGATATGCACATGTGCACCCACACAATGTCTGTTTCTCAATCTAAGCTCCTTTACCCTGCTTTTTTAAAAAGTTGGGCTGGTTTGAGGTATAGTTAACAGGGTTGATCTTAGTTTCAATGTTATATTAAATTATCCTTTTTCTTTGTAGGAGACTGAACATGGAAATAGAAGAATGTGCTGAGAAGAGGATTGCATTAAATATCAGAAATAATAAAGTAGTTTCTAAAACACATTATACAACTGGTATGGTTTTGCTATTGCTTAAAAAACAAGAGCAATTTTCGAAGTAAATTCCCAGAAACATGAAGGCAAATTATCTGTTATATAATCTAAGTAAAGAAGTCCTATGTTAGGAAAGTAGGCTGATGAAAACCTGTAGAAGTACTAGTAGTAGTAGAAATAGTAGTAGTAGTAGTAGTAGTAGCAACAGCAGTAGCAGCAGCAGCAGCAGAGTAGCAACGGGCCTTCTCTTACAGATGTATTTACAGTTCCTTCTTAGTATGATGACAATGTTGCTTGTAATATCCTGAATCAAAAATGACTGCCTGATAGCACTCCCTTATTTATCCCCACACTTGCTATTTGGGGTCTGCTTGTCCTGGGTATGTTCCATTGAACGATCCAGCAGATGTAACCCAAGAACACAGTACTGTGGTTTCAGGAAGGCATGTTCGTGCCCTTTTGAGTCACATAAGGATGGTAGGTAACGGGGTAAAGGGAAATAAAAGAAGCAGAAAGAGCCTTTTTTGATGACTGATTACAACTCCCAACTTAGGAAAGAACAATATGGCAGAATACAGTATGTGTTTGTTGAACTGCCTCTTTGTGATTTAATTCATTTTTCTTATTATATATAGTCTGATCCTTTGGCAGCCCATTGTAATTTGTCCCATTCCAAACCCTCCCCTCTAAATTAATCTCTGAACCCATTACAAGTTTTTAAGCACAACAACAGGTCAGACTTCTCGCTCATGGCCTTATTACGCAGAACTTTCAAGTTAAATACACTGAGATGAAGTAAAGAAAGTCATGTAGCAGACAAGAATTGCTTGGGTGGATGAGATGATCAAACTTGGGTCACAAGACGTTTGTTGGGTGCTTCTGAATTGCCTATAGGTACCATACCATCTAGAAATTCTGAATTGGGTACAGTAAGTTCTTTGTCACCATGTTTCTCTCTATGTAGAGCTTTCTCATGAATATGAACTTTTCTCTGGATGGCAGCAAGTTCTGGGGATGGTGGTGGGGTATATGGGCATGTTGTAATGTGGGTGTATTGACCTTGATCTTCACAATCAGTTTCTCGGTGATAAAAGTAGCTGAAGTTGGAGACAATGACAGGTACTGGAAGTGAGATAGTGAGTACTCCAGCAATGGCACAAAGAGACCCCACAATTTTGCCTCCAATAGTTTCAGGGTACATGTCACCATATCCTACAGTCGTCATGGTAACCACAGCCCACCAGAAGGCAGCAGGGATGCTGGAGAAATTTGATTGTTCATGATCAGCTTCTGCAAAATAGACAGCACTGGAGAACAAAATGACTCCAATGAAGAGGAAGAAGATGAGCAAGCCCAGTTCCCTCATGCTGGCTTTAAGTGTCTGACCTAGGATTTGCAATCCTTTGGAGTGTCTGGAGAGTTTGAAGATTCTAAAGACTCTCACCAACCGGATGACTCTGAGGATAGCCAATGACATGGCAGGTTGACTTACCCCACGCTGGCGTGCAAACTCTGTACCAAGGGCAACAAAGTAAGGGATGATAGCTATAAAATCAATCATGTTCATGATATCCTTGAAGAAAGCTGGCTTACTTGGGCAGGCTAGGAATCGCACCAGGAGTTCAAAGGAGAACCAACAGATGCAAATGGTTTCCACAATGAAGAAAGGATCTTCAGAATGAGATTTTGGTGGCATTATATGCGGCACACTGCTATTCAAATGATGGTGCACAAGCTGTGGAAAGGAATAAAGGAAAACAGAACAACTTGATTAATGTGACTTAATTAATCTGAAGGATGTGAAGTACAAAACAATGATTTCAATTAGAAGAGATGGACTAAATTGGTGAGCATATTAAAGCAAGTTTTTTCAAACTGGCAACTTAAGATGTGTTGACTTCAATTCACTGGTGGATTCCTACCTGTTCGGACCGGTTCGGCTGAACCCGTAATAGTTTTGCAGCCTGGGTTGCTGGAACCAGCAGTGATCCAGGCCTGCCATGCCCCTGAACCAATTGTCCAAGTGTGCCATAGGTACCGGCATCTTGTTGTTTGCTTTTGTGCATGCGTAGAACAATTTTTATTTCACTGCACATGCACGCACAACGCACCCACAAGCAAACCGGCAGTAGTGCCTGCCGGAACCCACCCCTGCTTCAATTCCCAGAATTCAGGGAGTTCAAATCCAGAAATCTTGGAGTTGCAAAGTCTGAAAAATGTTACTAGAGATTACAATGGAAACACACTCAGAAGGCTCTACAATTGAAATGGCTAGGCCACCATATGCTCTGCCTAAAAATATCAATATTTTTCCAAAGACAATTATGTTATGTGCCCATATATTGAAGTCTTCACAACTGTCACTTTATCATCATAAACACTGCCCTTGAATTATATTTCTACTGTACAGGTAGTCCTTGATTTAGGACCACAATTGAGCCCAAAATGTATGTTGCTAAGTGAGACATTTAAGTGAGTTTTGATCCATTTTATGACTTTTCTTGCCACAGTTGTTAAGTAAATCATTGCAATTGATAAGCTAATAACATGGTTGTTAAATGAATCTGGCTTCCCCATTGACTGCTTGTCAGAAGGTCCCCAGAGCACTACAACTGTCATAAATATGAATCAGTTGCCAAGCATCTGAATTTTGATCACGGAACTATGGGGATGCTGCCATTTTTGTAAGTATGAAAAATTGTTATAAGTCACTTTTTTCAGCGCCATTGTAACTTTCAACAATCACTAAACAAACTTGTAAATCGAGGACTACATGTTGCAATTTTTCCTAGTTCATTCTCACTAGCATGGCCTGCCCTTTGATTAGACAATAAAATTAATGAGGACAATAAAAGTTAATAATCACCAACCATGTTACTATGCTCACTGATTTTTCCTCAATTTAGTGTGCTATAATGTCTGGGATTGCTTTCTTTATCACTCCCAACTGGAATTGACAGAAGCAGCCAATTCTGCCCCATTTTATGACCTTTCTTGCCATAGTTGTTAAGTGAATCATAGTGGTTGTTAAGTTAGTAAGATGGTTAAGTGAATCTGTCATATTATATAGAAATAGAATAGAATAGAATAAAATTCTTTATTGGCGAAGTGTGATTGGACACACTAGGAATTTGTCTTTGGTGCATATGCTCTCAGTGTACATAAAAGAAAAAATACATTTGTCATGAATCATAACGTACAACACTTAATGATAATAAACAAAAACAACAACAATATAATCTGCTTTCCTCATTGATTTTGCTTGTCAGAAGTTCACAAAAGTGATCCTGGGATCATTGCAATCATCATAAATTCATGCCAGCTGCCAAGAATCTGACTTTTGATCATGTGACAATGAGGATGTTACAATGGTTGCATGAAAAATGGTCATGTCACTTTTTTCAGTGCCACTGTAACTTTGAACGATCACTAATTGAATTGTTGTAAATAGAGGACTATCTGTACTTCAGCATGCCTAAATATCTTGCTATTATCAAGGACAGAGGGCTGAAATGAAGTCTTTCAAGCATGTACCAACTTTATTTGATGCTTGACAGTCATCTGATATGATTTCTGCAGAAATTAAAAAGCAATCCAATTGTACAATGAAGGGAAATGTCCACGACTCCATTCTGCACAATGAACAAGAGTGCCCAAATAGAACAGGGACAGTGTACAATATCGTATTTTGAAAATAAACAGAATATGTTTCAACATTTAAAGAGGGAGGACTCAAATCACCACCACTTCAAACTCTTTCTATTCCCCCATCCAGAGCTATTCCAGACAAATTCCCCTATTTCCATCACCCTGCCACATTGTTCCTGCATCTAAAGATGAAACCAGGAGAGCACAATATTTTACATCTCTGACAGAAGGGCAAGGTGAAGTTTGCCATACTGTATTCCCTTCATGGCTATTCGGAGTTCTGGCTCAGGCAATGACGTGGAAGGATGGAAGGTAGGTTAGAGATTTTTTAAAAACTTTGATTTACCAGAATGGATTCTTGGCCATTGTTGCATACAATATGGTTAGTCAACTGGCAAAAAGTCTGAATTGTGAAGCAGAAATCTCCTATTTGATGAATCATAGTTCTGCCATTAACTTTAGGAGTAGTCTTATATGAACCTGTCTCTTTCCCATCTGCTATGTGGGTGATGGGGGTAATCATGTAATAAAATTTACAACTAATATGCAAAATTCTGAATCTTATAAAATGCTATACAAATATTTAAAAAATTTCACTCTATGCATTGCACATGTTACATATTCTTGTGAGATAGAAGGGGAAAATAATATGAAAACTGATGCGCTCCAAACTTAATTCAAGAAAACAGACTGCGGGGTGGGAGTGGGGAGACAGATTTGGAAAGAGATGGTAGAGAATATGGGATACTATGTTGGTCCAGTTATTTGCAGAAGGAATCAAATTAAAGTGTGCCTAAAGGCTGGAGAAAAGCAGAATGTCAAGGTCAGATGTTTCTCCCATCTCTGTCCTCTGGTCAGCTCTGATTTCTTGCCTCTCTAATTTTGACTTCTGTAGTGGGGCCTGCTTGTTCTGCAAAGGAGGGAAGTACCTGTTAGTTGTCTGGAATTTCTAAGAATTTCCAACATGGACTTGGAAAAACCCCAGGACTGAACTCTGTCTGTCTGATATGTTTCTAGAACATGTTGAGAATATTTGTTCAGCACATCCATATATTCATATCCCTGGGCTTAGGATATAAACAAAAGTATTTTTACTTCTTTGCATTTTCCACACACTTTTTTGTTTCATTAATATTCCATCAGAGGGTTTGTGGCAAATCCACTGACATGTCACATACATCTATCTATCTATCTATCTATCTATCTATCTATCTATCTATCTATCTATCTATCTATCTATCTATCTATCTATCTATCTATCTATCTANCTATCTATCATCTATCTACCTACCTACCTACCTCTCTATAGCAAAGGAATTACATTAATTGCCTTCAGTCAGCTCTCTATGCTCAGATCATATTATACCCTATTTTCTATTTAGATGTTTATGTAATCAAATTGGCATCATCTATCTATTAGAGGGAGGTATCAGCAGACTTAAGAAAATGCTAGGCCTTGCAGAAATGCACAAAATTTTCCATAGGCTGGTGGTGGTCAGAATCCCCAAGAGTCAGAAAGCTCCAATTGGAATTGCATATATTAAAATGGGGAAAATATCAAATCCAAAATGCAGGAATAGAATGACATTTGCTAGAAAAGAGTGCAGTTGTCTGGCATTCTGAAGAAGAAAATTCCACACTGCAATATATTCTTACTTTTCATGTCACACATATTTTACATAATACTTCAAAACACATATTTATTAGCTTCTGTGCTATACATTTTTATTTTTTGTGGATCATTATTTTTGCCTCCTCTGATCTTTTAAAAGATACTCCAATACACACTACATAGGCTACATAGTATATATTGGGATAGATCTACTAACTGCAGATGCAACTACTGTACAACTATTTTATCCCTCTTTTCAAATCTGCTTTAATTGTAAGGGACTATGGATGCATTCTTAATTTCCATCTCCTACTATACATTCACAAAAACCCTGCAAGGTAAACTTGAAATAAATAAATGATACAGATATTTACTTATTTGTAACCCATCTTTATTATTTTTACAAATAATTCATTGAACACTTCCACAATTCAAGAATATAAAGAAGAGAGAGAAAAAATATTTTTACTAAATTTAAAACATTAGCTACCTTTAAAAAAAAGTTTATAGTGAACAAAATGTTGAACTCAGCACAGTTATTTTAAAAAGTCACCACTGAAAACGCATATATTTTTTTTGCTAGAAAAATCAGGCACACTCTGAGTAGATTAAGATTAGGATGCAGCCTAGGGTTAAATCCCCACGGATACACAAATGTGCTTTCCTCCCTTCTTTGATGGAAAAGATATTGAAATAACTCATGCTGACCCACAGCCTAGCATTACTGCATCTCAGCAAAAAGGCCCAACACTGAAATGTAATGAGGAGTGCCATCAAGTTAGCAGTGGGCAGTTTTTCAGTTGTCCTTCTCCCTTCCTGCATTTCCTACCATCATGAAAACCAGCCCCTCATTTTTCTGCTGAACATGTGCTGGAGAAGGGCAGCTTGGAGATGGGACCATATGCAGCAACAGTCAGTTCAAATGGAGGGAGCAACAGGGTGATCAAAGCCCCATCTCTTTTTAACACAAATCATATGGATTGCACATACATGTGCTGAACTTCAATGGCTTAGTTCTGCCTGCCATTTTGAAGCCACTTATCATCACTGTGGATCTTCTTGGTTGGGTGTTCATTATTATTATTGTTATTATTATACAATTGTATCACAGCGACCAGTTGTTTCGCCGGATTTGGCATTGGTTACTAGTCGGGCCCCACCCAGGGGCCTAGGACGTCGTA